TTAAACGTATAAGATTTGCATTGTCAGTAAAATATGTTATAAATGAATTAATATTTTAAGATTAGGAATAGGGAAACAAAGTAATAGTGAAAAGGCTATCCAAATGAGGCCGAAGAAGCCACAGTTAAGTTAAAAAAATATTTATTGATACTAAAACAGAGAATTGAAAGTTATACAAAAACCAGCATAATGTCGTCTAAAAGTTCTTTTAAGCTGGGAAATAAATTAAACAAAACAAACAGAATAGTAATCCCAAGTCTAAACTAGAGTAAGTGGCAAGAAAACGGGGAGATAGACATTACACAACAGAACCAAGCAAGCTACACAGCCAGGGTCAAACAAATAAACCCCAGTGCAGCAGTGAACCCACAGTGAGATCAGTGGACAGACACTGCTGTCAGCCTTATTTAATATTCTGCCTGGAAAGTCTGTCCCACTCAAACAAAGAAGCTAAGCTTTCCCAGGGTAATAACATCCCCAACTTTTGTTCTCTTAGTATAAAAGCAAAGAAGCAGCTCCAGTTAAAGCAATTAGAAAATGTCATACAAGAACTATTTGGCTTTTTTAAAAAATGGAACATACAGTGGTTGACAGACATTGCAAGAAACACTGAACCGATTCTTACGAGTCTCTTGCGGAGGCATTTCGCTGAGCTCGGAGCAGAATAGAGTGAATATTTGTTGGAGTAGTAGAAACACTGCAATATAAAGTAATTCTGTTCCCCTTTAGTTTTTGGTACTGCAGTTATTAATGTTGATCACGAGACTAAACTGAGCACTTTTGCTCACTGTAAACAGTGTAACTAAGTTATTCCAAAACAAAAATATTTACCCAATTAATGCAGAAACACACCTGTTATAAAAAGTTTTAAAAATGTAGAATAGTAGCAACAGAACTTTTAAAAGAAATTTGCTACATAGATAAAACACGCACAGAAGAGGCAGAGCAACAAGCCTAAGAAAAACATGTAATAAAAAGGGACAGTGATTATCATCAAGTTCAGTTGTCTACCCATTACTGATAAACTTGAGTCCTTAACTAGAGAACTCACATGCACCATCTGCTTACACGAGGTTAGTTGTCATTTTGGAATTCAGTTGCATGTGCAATATACAACTAAGAAAGAATACGCCAACTTGCTCATTCAGGTTGGCATTTAGGACTTTAGACTTTGAAACTGAAATAGCTGGTTAACCAAAAGGCACAACAGCATTTGAGCTTCTGAGGGAGAGCAACATTTCAGTTTTCCAAAGAAGCTGGAGATGAGAAAGAAGCTTGTTTTAAATGGAACTGTCTGAAAAGCAGAATTTAGGATCTGTAATAAAGATTTTTTTGGGGGGGAATGTTTCTCTGTGAGAGGAAATGGTTGCACACATTATAGATCAGTCTGAGAAAAAATGAGTATGGAAAATAAACAGAATCAGAAGCGACTTGTGAAACTTAAAGAACAAGACAATATTGCATGTAGGCTAATAGAAGCAGCAGTCCTGCAAAGAGTAAAGTAACACAGGTGCATATGTACACATACATATGCAGCATAACAAGGACCTGAGAAATTGGGCTGGGGACAACAGGGCTTTGTGGGAGGAACTCCAATTTCTGAAACCACTGAATTCTTCAAGTCGATAAGCAATATTTGCCAATATTTTAATGGAATTTTCTTCTTTGGGAAAAGACAATAGCTTCGACAAGAAAGGGTGTGGTGGGGTCTAAAAGAAAACTGACTTTATTTAACCAAATTGCTGGGCATCCTCCTCTTCTGACTCTGCTCCAGAATCTTAGTTCTCCACAGAAATATCTACTTTGGCAGAATTATCAAAATATTGTCAACATACACACAGAATTAAAAGGCACACAATAGAAGTTAAAAAGAATTTAGCCAAGGACAGCTCCAACAGGAGATGCATAACAAAAAAACTGAGACAGGCACACATTCTCAACTAGGTTGGGATGTACCAATTGCTACAAAGAACACAGGCTATTTATCCTGACTATCTAAATTTGGCAGGTTTTACCAAAGGCATTTAAAGGATTGACTAAAGACGGCCCCTTTATTAAACAATGATAGCTTTAAAGTAAGTGGACAGAAGAAACCCCTAGAAAATACTGGGTGCTTTAGGGAGATTAGTTGTTCAGGTGGGGAGACTTCAAAAAAAAAAAAAAACCACAGAGAGAGGGAGGGAGAGAGAAAATGGGAATTGCATAATCTGACTCAGGAATACACAACTTGGATTAGGAGTACTGCACTAATTGCAATGGAGAGCAAGGGCGAAAAGACAGCATCTGTTTAAAAGCACCGAATTGAGCAAATCATACAAATCTACTATTCAGAACAAATGCCTTGTTTCCTTACGTCGTCAGGGTGTTTGTAATATAGCTACTAGATGGTTTCTTTTACACGATAAGTCACATTCTCACAGGAGATTTTTTTCCCCCTCTGATCTAAACAAAGAATATTTTTGGAACTAATATGGTGAGCTGAACAAATATGGTGAGCTGAGAGTCTAGGCAGCCCAGGACTCAAACCAGATGGGTTATATGAAAATGCTACCTGAAAAACATTGCATTAAGCCTGATGCCTGACCCTTGGAGGCATTCTACCTAGCTGCAGGCCCTTTGGAAAATCCTGGCTCAACCTGTCACCTTATTCAGCAGCAGTGCACATCAAGAGGCATAAGCTTAAGGAACTAGAAGCACTGTTTGCAGAAGACTCATTCGGTGCACTATTATAACCCGGCATATCAAAATTTAAATTACAGCTGCATGGTAGCAAATCTCATGGACTTCCTTGGAATTGTTTTCTATGTGAGTAAACTTTGGTGAAAAAGATACGCTTCCATATCAATGTATTCAACAAAATTATATTAGCTAACACAAGCATGAGCAATACTTTATCCCTGATAAATTTGCTGTCTTGCCTTTTCTTAGCTTCACTTGCTCGTATGGCAGCAGCGCAAATATAAAAGAGAAACTACAGTACGAGCAAGAAAAGTAGTAGGCTAAGCCAATGCTTCAAACAATCCAAAAGTCTGGAAACCATTTACTGAGTCACATCACAACATACACACAACAAACTGTACTGTGGTCTCAACATACAGTTTTGAACAAAACCTTTGCATTGCTTTACCCTGCCCATGGGTCTGATAAACAGTGGTCCAACATCATGTACTTTATGACTTTGAAAGCTGCAAAAATACCCATTTCAATAAAATTCCTTATCAATTTAACATTCCCTATTTCTGTTTCTTTTTATGCTAGGAGTATGGGGACTTAGAATTACACTATTAGAACAGTCAAATTCTGATAGAGCTTGACCGTCAATTGACTTGACCGAGCTTAGCACTTCCCAAACTTAGACCAGGGCTCTTGACCAACAGGAAGCACCTGTTCTGAGAGAAATAATAGAAACCTAAACTGAATCATCACTTCAGAAAGTAGGCAGCCTAAAATAAACATAGCTTCTAGGATGTTTTCATTCCGGTCTATCCTCTCTGGTTTCATACATTACCTTCGTGGTCAAGGTAATGATAAAGCCATCCCTTGCTGGAAGAATAAAGCAAAGAGAAATTTCAATCATTTCTGCCCTGTATAGTGATGCCCTGTGGCAGAATTTAATTGGGAAATACAGGACATATATAGAGATCAAATAAAAATAAATGGCAGTTTGTATCACAATGTTATCTTGCCATCTGCAATAATTTTTTGTAGTTATTGCAAGTAAGAATAAATAGAAAGATATCACCAATAGAAGATAATATTTGTACCTCAGGGTTAAATTGTGGAGTCGTAGATGCTCTTTGAGCTTGGTCATTTGCTTGCAGATGTTTCATTCTCTCACTACATAACTTCATCAGTGCTAGTGACTCTGGTGTTTGCTCCATCTTTTTATAACAGTACAGTAATTTGCCCTGACAGTATTGATGGGGTGTGTGGCCCCACATTCAGTCAGCTGACACCACACTCAGTAGCACTGATGACATTACCTAGTTTGGTAAAGAAATGTCTGCAAGCAAACTCCCAAACTCAAGAGAGCATTTAGGACTATAGAAAGATATCAATTGCATAGAAACCTCAAAAACCTGCCTTCTAGTTCCAAAGATTCTCAACTCAATTTGAACAGCACACATCAATAGTATTTTACCTCACATTATAAGGCATCTTATGCTTATAAAATCTCAACATCAGCAAAATCTCTTAATTTTGCTTCCTTCCCGTTTCTTCTGTGTAAGCAATAGCATACAAAATGTGTATACGTGTGCATGTGTGCGTGAACACACTGGGGACCCACAAGTGATCTCAACCACATAAGCATATAACAATTTCTCAGAACACATGGCTTATTTAAGCAATGATTTACACGTCACATTTTACATGGAACTGGTTTCCATATAAAATTTTCCAATGTGTAAAAATCTCCTGAATTACATGTGTGTACACTCACGTACAACCAGATGTTAAAACTGAGACAGCATTCTCCTCTGAGTGACATCTGCTGACATTTGGCAAATTGAAAAACATGTTGTCTTTTCAAGTTCTTGAGAACATTATTCTGCAGTTCTCCAACGTTGGTTTCCTGTATCTGCTAATATATTTGGCAGAATGAAAAGCATACTTTCTTTGCAAGTTTTTGAGACACTAGTCCAAACAAGTTAATTGCTACTTCTGAAGTTTCTAGAGACCAATGCTCAACCTGAACCACACTCACTTGATAGCTGTTAGTCCCAGCTCCACACCAATGCTGTCTTATATATCATACCCTCTAGTTTCCAAAGCAAGTTTGAAGTATGACTTACATACATTCTCTTAAGACAAACTTTTTATATGGCGCTTGGCAGGTATCCTAAATATAGATTTGTTCACAAATTTTCAAACTAACGTAATTTGTTCTAGGAGCTGAGAAGTGTTGAAACTTCATTATTTGGAAGAAAAATAAGGAACTATTTTTTTTAGAGAACCTATTCAGGAGAATGTGTGTGTGTGTGTATGTGTGTGTGTATACACACACGCACACCCCAGTATATATTTATTCTCTTGAATAAATCCTCTGGTCTTTCAAATCATATAGCTAAAGTGTTCAAGCACAGCAAAGCATGGAGTTGTAGTTTTCAATGCACTCCTCCACATTGGTGAGTAACATGAGTAAAGCCAAAACTCTTGAAAAAGAGCCCCTAACCTTATTTCTCCGGTTGCTAACTACTGTGGTTTGCTTCTCCTTCTAATATCCAAGGGGACAGTAAAGGGAGATTCAAATGAGACTGAGGAATAATGCTTATCTGCCTTGGAGCTCAATAATGTCTTAGGTTAAAAAAGCCCACACTTGTCGGTGACTCCTTAACAGTTACTGTGATCAAATTAGCTGTCACATCTGTGACAAAAACATGTTCAATAAGACTCCGGGTAGGTTTCCAGTCTTGGTTTGTCTGGATGGAAACAGATGTATTCTGGTCTGCTCCAGGAAAAGAAGCAGAATCTCTGTCAGAATCAGAGCTAGTCTCCTCTTCTCCGGTGCTCCCTTCTGACATGCCTGAAGTCTTATCTTTTGTGGGACATCCTTCCTGGGCACAGGTAGTATTACTCTTGGTAGCTACATCTCTCTCACTAAGAGCTGCTCTTGGTGCTGATTTCTCACCTTTGCAAGGGTCTGCATCTGCTGATGTTGCCCCTGTGCTGGCGATGTTCTGGCTGCTCCCCGACCCGCTGCCCTTGGATGCACTTGTCTTTGTTGCTAAACTGTTGCCACTGCTTTTGCCAGCCGCCCCGCAGCCATGGTGAGAAATATGGCTACTGCTGGAAGAGTTTGGCCCATTCTTCACACTTTGCAGATTTAAAGCTTGTAGGTTGAGCTCTTGGTTGCAAGCTGGCAGGCTGCTGGGAGATCCAGAAGGAACTTTGTTGCCGTTGTGCAAGTTCCCCGCCTTTTGTTCCCCCAGGGAACTGCCACTCGGTCTCTTGGTCACTTTGGATCCTTGCACAGTCAATTCTAGGTTTCCGGAACCTTTCTGGTTTTTCAGTTTTAAATCCAAACCTAGGCTGTTCTTGCAGGACATAGCTGACTTCAGAGTCAGTCGTCCCACTGCAGAGGCATCTGCGGAGCTCTGGTTCTGTGACATCCTACTCATATAATGGACAATGGAGCTTTGCCAGCTGATACCGCAATTTGGGCTTCCAACGGTAGTATTCTTCACTAGGTTGGAGAGGTTTTCATTGGAGGATGCTCCAGAACAAAAGCCACCGAAGGTACCTTGGGCTTCCTTCATGTGAGATTTAAGCATAGCAATGCCAGAACTTTGAGCATTGTGTTGTGGTGGCATCTTGTTTGCCAATTTGGACCCCCCTCCTCCTCCTCCTCCCCCTAACTCCTTTCTATTTGTTTTAAGCACCTTGGTTAGGTTGACTGTCCTCTTGGCTGCCTTCTGCTCTGGAGGCAGCGGCTTCCGTCCACGTTTCTTCCTAGCGGAGTCCTTGTTTTCGGGTTTGGCAACTAAAATCTGAGCTTTTTTTTGAGGCACTGGGTGACTTTCTCTGTTCCGCTGACTTCTCTTTGTCTCAAGGTCACTTTCATCCTCCTCGTCAGAAGAGGAAGTCGAAGAGGAGGTGGAGGAGGAAGAGCTGCTGGATTTGCTCTTGGAGGGTGCTTCAGGTTCCTTTAAATACAGACAGAACAGAATGACAGCAACATGAATATGGTCCACTTACTCAATAATCTTGCTGAAACTATATTCTCTGAAATAAGATTTACACGATCAATTTTCTGTCTAACAGTTTTGTTTTCAGAACCAACATAATTTGCTTTTATAATTTGCTTATTATATTTCAATAGGGAAGTTTCTTGTTACAGACTTGTATTTTCCTAAGTAAAATTAGATGTTTATAAAGATGAATAAAAATATTGACTCCAAGTGATAGGAATCAAACTAAACTGCACAAGAGATTACCAGGCACCACTGCAGGTGAACTCCAGCTATCTACAAGCAAGAATGCTTCCATGAGTGCAATTTCAATGAGTCCTATAAACCACCATTACTTACAACATTTTTTCTTGGTCTGCCTCTGGGTCGTTTGCCTCTTTTCCGATTTTGTACCTCTTTCTCATGTTCCCTGGGAAGACAGAAAGTTATCCTCTTACTTTTCTTTTTCGGCAGAAAATGCCTTATTTTTGTTTTCAGACAAATTCACTATAAATTTCACAGGAATCTTGTGATCCATCCAGAGTGAAATCCTTCTCAATACATAGGAATATGGATTACCAACACAATACAAATTTGCTTGTTTCTTATATAAGAGTATGCTGTATCACAAATCATCAGAGTTCAGTTAGAATTTGGCCACTGCTATTCCATCATTAAACTTTAATGGATCATTCTGTTGTAGAGTGAAGACTAGGTTCAATGAATTCTTCTCTATTAGGCTGAAATATTTTGTCATTCACTCTAAGTTTTTTGTGCGCAGAAATAAATTATTCTGGTTTTGCTGCTGTGCAAAGTATATTTATAATATTAATGGCACAATTTAAAATGTATTAATGATATTACTCCCTCTAGATAAATTTTTAAGATAAAGTACTGACGTTAAAAACCTGCGAATGACTTTTTAACCAGTGAAACACCTGTGTTTAATTTTTATTTGTATGCATTTTGTATATTTTCAAAGAACACCGATTTAAGTATACAAACAGCTACAAATAAAAAACATTGTATTACATATCAAATATACACACCACATATGCAGAAAGATATGATCAAAAGTAATGGTGATGTTACTTAGACGCAAAACAAAAACAAACCCATAAACAAAAACCTTTAAAAGAATTCAATGCGGAAAATTGCTACGGAAGACCAATAATTGCACTCGATTTCAGAAGATGAATGTTTCCAAACAGGAAGAACAAATCTATCCAGAATTTTTGGGATTACTCAAAACCACATTTGAAGTTCAGCTTGTATCTCTATACAGCAAGTAATGAAATAAATATATATAATCCAGTGGTATCGAACAAATGGTAAAAAGATTGTTTCTGTGAGAAAATGTGAGTTTAAGGCTTGCATAAGGCAATGTATTCACTGAATTACAAAAAATTATTAGGGAAGGATAAGGACTTTTCAGAAACACTTAATGATACTTTGCACCTGTCTTTATTACGGAAATAGATGGGATGTACCAGCCTGTAGTTATATTTTCAAGTTGGGAACCCAGGGAAGAATCATTAGAGAATATTACAGAAATAAAATATGAAAGTATTGCTGTTCTAAGAAAAATATTGAAATATTTTATAGTACCATTTGCAGAGATTTCCAAAGTGGTCAAGGCAATATTCACATCAAGAAGAGCTGCAGAGAACAAGGCTAAATAAAATGTAATACTTATTTAAAGTAAATCATTAGAAAAAATATTTCAAATATTTGGAATTTTAAAAAGTTATTTTGAGAACCTACAAGCAATATTTAGAGGTGCAGTGAGTGATGTGATAGTGTGTTATTAATTCTTTGTATACAGTACACCGGTGGATATAGATGATCCAGCAGATGCTGTTTACTTTCAAAAGATGCTTGACGAAGTCCCTTATGAAAGGTTTCCAAGAAAATATATCAGCTGCTGGAGGGGTAGAATGGTCCCTCTTTGGTAACCTTTGGGAAAAGAATGCTGGACTAGACTGGATTGTTTAACCTACTAGAGCTTCCTTACATTAAGGCTAAATATCCATCATGCCTTCTCCAAGAGCAGGTCACAACAAAACGAGGATGATTCAGTATGAATCAGCAGAAATCCCAGAAACAGGACCCACCATTACTAGATATACCTAATACACAGACAGACACTGCTACCAATCCTGGGACTGGCATGAAGAAATGTCTTTCTCTAGTACAGTTTTTTGATTCTTCAGAGACACCCAACATGTTTAACTGCCTTTATACATTCTCAGACCTCTAGCAATTGTCTGGTCTCTTCCAGAACTGCCTTATGCAAATTGTTCCGATATTTTTTTCTGGTAAATGGGGATAAATTTATCTTTAAAGGAATACTGGAACTATTTATTTTGATAATGTTAAGTCTTTTCAGGTAGTCCTTGATGTACGACTATATGTTTAGTAACCGCTAGAAGTTACAATGGTACTAAAAAAGTCACTTATGACTAGTTCTCAAGCTTACAAATGTTGCAGCATCCCCACAGTCACGTGACACGTATTTACAATCTTTATACCATTCCAGTGTAGTTGGGATTCCATTCCATATCAGTTGAGATTTAGATATCTCGGCAAATTCCTATTATCATTAATGGAGATTTGCCTAAGCTGTGCGAGATTCAAAAGGACATGAAGGATGTCCTCTGCCTCCTTTGCTTTTTATTTTAGCCTTGGAGGTTTTAAATAGAGACATCAGAAAAGATTAAAAAAATATTGAGTTTAAAGATTAAAAAAAGAAACGTATGATCTGAGAGCTTTTGTTAATGATTTAGTTTTGTTTCTACAAAACCTCCAAAATGGAATGGAATATTTAATGAAGAAACTGAATGGCACTGGTGCCTTAACTGGCTTGAAATTATATAAACAGATTAATAAGTACCCATCAAACAACGCAGAAGAGAAGTAGAAATGTTAACTCTACACTGACTTATTTAGAGTAATATCATAGAAACAAATCACAGTATGAATACAGACAACCCAATTGATTTACATAAAACACTAGACCATGTGTTCTTGCTTCACCATTATTGCTTTTTGGATATTACTACAATAGAGAATTTTTATTTTTTAATGGAAGCACAATGCATATTACTTAATGTTAATATTCATTAACACATCGACATTACACAATGCATATTACTTAATGTTGATATTCATTAACACATCGACATTATAATTTTGATAATATATTTCTCAAAATACAAATTTTGATAAGCAAGGTGTTGCTGCAGATCTGGTATACAGTCTTCCTTTTAACATTGTATGTATTAATCACTTATCCATAATTATTATTACCTGTATATATTAAATACATTTATAGTTCTTGATAATTTTCAAATAGTAGGGGTATAGAAAAGTATATATGTGTTTAACGTAGCAATTAATACACAATTAGATTAACAGGAGTCAATTTCAGCCCCAAAGATGACAATAGGAAGACCTGTCCTGACCACAAGAATCCCTGTTTCAACTCCTGAATAGAATCTCCATCAGCAAGACAATTGCAACCGGCCATTTGGGACATCCCCTACGACAAGGAATGCATTGACACTCACAAAGAATGAGCTAGATAATTTTTCTGTTTGGGATTTACAAAATAGATTTGTTAAAGCTTTAAGAAATTTTGTGGAAAGGGACAAAGAAAAAAATGAAAAGAAATAGTTTTATGACATTATTTGATCAAGATTGTTTAAAACAATGAATTAAATATAAATTTGTTTTATTTAAGGTTAAAATAGATATCCTGTTAACTCTGGCAAGTCTTAATAAACTTTTGACTGAATGATAAGGTTTTAAGAATGTATTTATAGATAAAAGATGGGATATGATTATTTGTTGTATTTTAAAAGAAGGTGATAAGTCACTCAAATTGTTTGTACTTATTGTGGTAAAGGGATATATTCCTTATAGATTTCTTTTCATTTTCTTTATTATATTTCTTATTTTTCTTTCCATTCTATTTTTAATTTTCTGAACTACGTTTTCATTTATCTGTTAGTTTGCATTAGTTTTTGTTTAATTGTAATTTTTAATGAAATTATTATTTAAAAAAAGAGATAGTAATGGCCTCTGGACAAAACAACATATGCTTGAATTGAATACGTTGCCAAGAAATGCTCTGATAAATCAAACTACATTTTAAAAAACTGACAAAGAATGAGTCCTCCAGAAAGAGTTGATCTAAAATAATATAATATGAAAAAATCAATTTACTCAAAAAGCCTCAATGGAGGCTTTATATTGATAAAAGGGTCCACAGTATATATTTCAGAGCTGTACACCTGATGCCCCAGCTTTCAGGATTTCACTCATTAATTTTTAAAACAACCACACCTCCCTCCCCCTTCAATTTGTTATTGAGGAAACTGAAAGAAAAATCTAGCTCAGAAATAAAGCCAAAAATCAAATGGGTCCTTGGTGCTCTCTAAGCTTGGTTGTTTTCTTGCAGACATTTCATTACTCAAATTAGGTAACATCATCAGTGTTAAAAATCAAGACATATAAAAGGCTTTCTCAGCATCCAAATAAATTATAGCTGTTATACTCTACTTATTTTGTAGTACAGCACAAACATAATTAAAAACCTGATTATGTCAGAAGCTTGAAATTCCTGTATAAATCTAGCCTGGGCTGTGTGCATGATAAAAAATAAGCTGTAATCTACAGACTAAGGCAGCTATTAAAATCTTAGCATTCATATCTATCAAAGGAGTATAATTAGAATACATAGTTGAATCCATGTCTGCCTTGGAAACAGCTATAATATTTATCTCATCAAAAGGGAAACAGGATGTGGATTTGGAAAAAAAAAAGATCTACAAAAGCAACACTTACCAAAACTTTCACAAGCTCAAAGACAAATGATGAATGAACCTATAACTACTTTTAAAATATCATTTTCACACCGTTAAAAAATAAAGCACCAGGTCTGGATGAAATCTCGAATCAAAATTTTAAATGCTTTAAAGACAATTCTTACAATTACTGAATCTAACTTTGCAGGACTCTACAATGCCTCAGTCTTGGAAAGAAGTCAATATAGTGTTATTGCTAAAAGACCAGGGTGTGTCTCTAACAAAAAATTATGGACAAATCTCATTGTTAAATAATGATTATAAACATTTTACTACAATATTGGCCGAAATTTTTTTTACAGACCTTTATTCAACATCAATCTAGGGCAGGGGTATCAAACTCGATTTCTTTGAGGGCTGCCTCGGGGTTGTCCTCAGGGTGTGTGTGTGTGTGTGGCCAGCTCTGCATCACTCATGTCGGGAGTGGCCCAAGTGCTCTTGCAGCAAAAACGGGCTCCCAAGCTGTTTTCAACTGCAACAGCTTCCGGCAATCCTCTGCCAGTGAAAACGGAGCTCAGGAGAGCTGCAGGCGGCTCTCCTGAGCTCCGTTTTCAGCTGCGAC